CCCCCCCCCCCGGGGGGGGGGGGGAAGTCTTCACCCGCTGCGTGTCCCTGATCCATTTTGCGTACCGTTCTACATTTTACCGATTACGGAAGTAAAAGAATGCGACAAATATAAACAGTAAGTTCGAAATCTCGACTCTTTTATCAGCGTTAAAAGCCAACGCCCCTCAGTGTTGACAACACTGCACATGATTTCCTTGTACCTCGCCTACATTATGTTCTGAGCTTTATTAATTTCAAGACATACTCCGATAAGCCTGTACCAGTTGTGTGGATTTAATAGATTTTTTTCTCTCGTTACCACCGCCGACATTTGCGCTTTATCCGTCTTCTGTCAGCCATGCGCTGGGACCATAATCCCACGCGATTTAATATTTTAGTCCCAGAGCCATCTACCGGCAGAATTAAGTACATCCGTTATTGGCCGGGACATCTTTGCATTGTTGCAATCTCACGCTGCATGGCGTCTTTTTTATTGTACGCAGAGATTGGAATGGATTCTTCTTTGTTTGAAAGTTTTCCGCGGCGTGTGTTAGGTTTGATTCAGTATGTGATATCAAAGTATAGCTCATTCAATGATTATTTTAGAATGTACGTAAATTACTGTAAATGCTATACCCCACATTCTGGAGTACGTCATATGAGTTCTGATATTACTTTTACGACGGTGAAGGTACTTTTACAGGGGGCATCTTCGTGTGTTTGCAGGATACAAAAAAATCTGAATTCAGAGGTTCAAAATTCTGTTGGACCCCCCCCCCCCCCCAGGGTACAGCATAACTTCGTGGACTTAAATTTTGACTGTTGAGGTTGGTCGATGTTCTTTTCGACAGGCCATGGATTGTCCTACTAAGGGCTTTAAGCGCTCGCTGCAACGCTTGCCACGTGTAAGAAATCTTTGTTTTAGAGTTTAATTTTCAGCTAGTAGTAGCCTTTATCATCATCATCATCATCATCAGTCTGTCACGTCTTCTGATTGACTTGTCCGAATTTTCCTACCGACCATTGCCCTAAGTCGACTTCCAAGGAGACATTTGCAATTCATGCAGCCTGTCTGCAGCTCTGCGCAACCAAAGACACCCTCCCCCCCCCTGCTTTCGTGATTGTTCAGTTTCTCGTGTCTGAAACTTCTTCAGCGTTGGGCGTTTGGTGTTACCTTTGTGGGAGCCCTTGTAGTGGCTACGGCAAGGTTGACAAAGGATGTCATTACACCCAGAGACTTGCAGAGGAGGCGGACAGCAAACGAGAACGATCCTGGACTAAGGACATTTTATTTCTTACGCCGGACAACTTTCGAACACCCTGTAAGAGGGGACCGCCGGTTGTAGAAAACACTATGACGCACGTCAGCTCTCACACACACGCGTGATGTGAGTCAGTACGTGTTCCCTAATGACTAAGCCAGTGTCGAAAGGACCTTTCTGCAGAAAGTCGTCTGACCTGTCACTCAAGGTCACCGAACACGCTGGATATTCTTTCGTGGAGCCTGGCGAATCTCGGCGTCCCTCGAGACAGCCTCCTTGTTCGGAAGATCAGACATGTGATGACCCATCGCCTCAAGGGGGGACGTGAACTGTTGTTGGATGGGCGACTCTGCACTTTGACCTCGCCGAGGGCGATTTTCCGTCCAACCGCAATTCCCCTCTAATCGACCCCACGAGTTTGTGTTCGGATTCTTACATTTGGCGGACATTTGTAAGTTGTTTTTGCTTTTCGGAACCGCGTTTAGTCGAGCCGTACGACCGATGAGGTCGCAGTCAATGGACTGACGAGGTTTCCTAACTGCGTTACCTGGTTTCGATTCTCCACGCCACATCATCCAGACCGACTCCCAAAGCTTTCACCCGGAGTTACTTCCACTTTGGTAAAGCGGCCGGCGCTTGAAGCTAACCACACGCCTCTTATTATCGAGTTAAAGAGTACGTGGAGCTTTGACTCCGGGCCTCCGCCGATGTAGGAAACATCTCGTGTTCCTCTCGAATACAATATTTTCTCTGTGGGAACGAGCGAAAGCTGACTTAACAAAACAGAAGATGGAGACGGTCGATACCTGCGAATAGAGAGTTATTGTACATTTTATGGACAGATAATACAGCCTTTTCGTTCATTACCTCGTCAG